TGTTTGATTTTAAGAAGACTTTTTTAAGAATGTTTTAAGAAGACTAAAACATTCTTCTCTTTTTTGCAGAAGCAGATTGCATGCTTTCCATTTATGGAGGAGATAAAGAACCTGATCGGTGAAGAATGGAAGAAGGTGGAAAAGAGGTCCACTAGCAACAGGTTTCAAAAGTTATAACCACTGGAAGTGACTGACGCGCTCTGTCTGGTTTCTGTCCCAGAGAAGAATTAGAGACGGCCATCTCCAGAGTCATGGGAGGGAAGTTGGGACTCTTGCTCCAGGATTGTAGGCCCAAGAAACAAAGGAATTTTTTCCAGAGGCAACCACAGTTTCGGACCGGAAATTCCAGGACCCGTGGGTCATCTCTACTGTCCAGTATGGCCACTTCTGGACTTTCCTGAAGAGTCCTCCACATTATTCTTTCCTGGCTACCAAAATTCTGAGGTCTCCATCAAAAGCAGGGATTCTTCAGCAGTAACTTTCCTCCCTAGTGGCCCAGGAGGCAATAGTTCCAGTTGCTCCGGCCAAACTTTTATCAGGTGTCTACTGTCCTTTGTTCCTCATCAAAAAGAAATCAGGCGATTGGAGGCCAGCCATAGACCTGAAGAGACTCAACAGATACATCCGGCTGGAAAAGTTCAAGATGGAATCCCTCCAGACCATCATTTAGGCAATCAATCCTGGAGACTTGATGCTATCTGCAGGACGCCTACCTGCATATTCCCGTCCTGCGGGCCTTTCAGAAGTATCTCAGGTTCGTGGTTGGAAGGGAGCACTACCAATTCATGTGTCTGCCTTTTGGTCTCTCTACATCCCCAAGAACATTCACGAAGGTCTTAATTGCTGCGTTGGCTCCTCTTCGAGAACTGGGCCTGCGAGTGCACCACTATTTAGAGGATATGCTTCTCTTAGCAGGCAGCTTTCTCACCACAGAGGGATACTCTTGAGTACCTTTGCAAGCTATGGTTGGCTTATCAACTACAAAAAGAGCCATCTAGAACCCACACAATGGATGGTTTACCTAGGGGCAGAGTTCGATACTCTACATAGCAACGTGCTCCTTCCCTGACACAAGGCCCTGAATCTCAGGGCAAGAATCAAAAACGCAATGCTCTTGACTCAGGTACCCGTATCACTATGCATGAGTCTTCTGGGGTCCATGGCCTCCTGCACATTGGCACCTCAGGCCCTTCCAGAGGGGCTTCCTCGCTCAGTGGAGATCCTTCTGTCAGTAAATTTGCGGAAGAGCCTCTGGTGGTGGTTGGACGCCCAGTACTTATCCCGAGCCCGGTCCCAAGGTCAGCTACAATGGATGGTCATCACCACAGATGCCAGTGCAAAGGGTTGGGGAGCCCTTTGTGAAGAGTTCAGATTCCAGGGTCTATGGCGCTTCCCCACTAGAGGTGTCGTGTCCAACATTCTGGAACTACAAGTGGCTTTTATGGCCCTGATCTCTTTGGCAGACATTATTTGAGGAAGGCTGGTGGTCCTCAGGATGGACAACAAGGCAGCAGTATCGTATTTCCAAAGACAGGGGGGCACTCACAGCCTTTCCCTCTTGAAGGAAGTAGAGGCGATTATGGCATGGGCCAAGGGGAACCTGACAGAGCTGAGAGTGATCTATCTTACAGCCCATCAAAATCAGGAAGCGGATTGTCTGTCGTGAGTTTTCCCCGGCCACAACGAATGGGCGCTCCATCAAAGCATTTTCGATCGGATTGTACGGCAGTGGAGTCTTCCTCAAGTAGACTTATTTGCAGCCCCGGACAATCGAAAGCTACCTCTTTTCATCTCCAGGTGGCCCCATCCATCCGCTTTGGGGACAGATGCCCTAACTCATCCATGGGACTTTAAACTAGCCTATGCCTTTCCTCCACTGGCACTGGTCTCAAGACTATTACCGTGTCTTTGCAGGGAAAACGTTACAATCATCGCAATTCTTCCTTACTGGCCATGCAGGCCTTAGGTTTCCCCTGGCATTACAACTGAGCATCTGTCACCCAATCCCTCTTCCGGTTTTTCCTCACCTCCTGTCGCAAGGGGGGAGACGCATCCTCGCCGGAAAAACTGGCCCTACATGCCTGGAAGTTGAAAGGCGGAAATTAGAGTCTTTCAGGTGTTCGTCTGCGGTAATCAACACACTGCAGAATGCTAGGAAACGTTCTACCAACACTGTATACCAGTGAATCTGACACTGGTTCACGATTTATGACTCAAATTGTGATTTTGATCCATCCTTCCCCACGACCGCACACGTCTTGTCCTTCCTTCAGAGGGGTCTGGATCTCGGCCTCATCCCGAACTCGCTGAAAGTACAAGTATCAGCTATTCGGCCGTCACCCAAATAAAGTGGGCCACGAATCCTCTAGTTGTCCGGTTCCTTAGAGCAGTGCTGAAGATGTGTCCACCCAGCAGAAGTTTTTTTCCACAATGGGATTTATCCTTAGTCCTCCAAGTGCTGGCACAAGAACCTTTCGCACCAACAGAGAAGTGTTCACTGTGGGACATTACCTACAAGGCTCTCTTTCTGGTAGCCATAACTTCAGGCTGAAGTGTCTCGGAGATCCAGGCCCTTGGCTGTGAAGAACCTTTTCTTCTGGTAGCCATAACTTCAGGCAGAAGTGTCTCGGAGATCCAGGCCCTTGGCTGTGAAGAACCTTTTCTTCTGGTAGCCATAACTTCAGGCAGAAGTGTCTCGGAGATCCAGGCCCTTGGCTGTGAAGAACCTTTTCTTCTGGTAGCCATAACTTCAGGCAGAAGTGTCTCGGAGATGCAGGCCCTTGGCTGTGAAGAACCTTTTCTTTCCTTTTTTTCCAGATAGAGTGGTACTCCGACCACTCCCGCGTTTTGTGCCAAAAGTTGTCTCACCTTTTCATCTGGTGCAGGAATGGACGTTGCCGGTTTTACAGCAGGATCTGCAACAAGGCTCTCTACATGAGTTGGATGTGTCGCGGACACTTAAAACCTACCTGGAAGCGACAAAATCCTTCAGGACTTCGAAACATCTCTTCGTGGTCCCAGGGGGTAGATTTAAAGGACAGAAGGCAAAATCCAAGACACTCTCTGCCTGAATAGTGAAGATCATTAAGAGGGCATATGGGGCAAGTGGGCATATTCCTCCTATGTGGGTGAAGGCTCATTTCACCAGATCCATGTCGGCTTCTTGGGCAGTCCATGCGAACGTACCGATGGAAACTATTTGCAGAGCGGCGAGTTGGTCCTCTCATCATACCTTTCTGCGGCACTACAAAGTGGACCCGGGTGCCCTGTCTACGGTTGAATTCGGGAGGAAGACCATACAGGCATCTGTTGCTGTGTCACAATAAAGTTGTTTTGTTCTGGCATATATCCCACTCTGTCAGCTCGTTATTTATCACTATTATGCTGCCATGGAGGCACCAGGAATACGGAAAATTGTTTTCATACTTACCAGTAATTTTCCTTTCCTATGGCAGCATACTCCCTCCCTGTGGTACTCACATTAGGCATAGTTATGAGAATGCAGAGGGGGGTGACACCGCTCACTTTATAGATTTTTACTGGTCCTGTGGGTAGGATTGGGGGCGGAGCTTAGTGTGCTGCCATGCATAGGATAGGCACCAGGAAAAGAAAATTAATGGTAAGTATGAAAACAATTGTCCGTATTATTTAAAAAATGCCCAGGTATTTTATATTAATAAGAATTTAGGACCCAACAGATGGAGAAAAACGATGACCCCACGTGTCATATTACCAGATTAATGTTGACAGAAAAATCTATGTACATTTGAAAAAAGAATTGCAGTGGAAGGGGAGTTTTGTAGTCTAATATGTGACCATCCTGGAGTTGTTCTTTTAATCTCATTTTTAGGTCATTAATGCATGCAAAATAGCCTTGTTACCAAGTCCCACATTGTGTATGTCTACTGATAACATGTGGATGTCTAATTTTCAGAAGCTATTTTGCTCCCAAAATTGTAGTCTTTGGCTAAAGCTTTGCGCATCATTCAAGGTTTGCATTGTCCATGGCATGGCTTATTAATTAATAAAGGGGCTTTTCTACATCAAATATTAAACATTTCCTTAAATTTGTGGATGATATCAAGCAATCTTTATTCTACAACCATTTAGGCAACTAAGTGTGTGTCTACTGAGTTGTGTATTAAAGGAGAACTATGGGGCGTTGTTTTTTTTCCATAGTTCTCAATTGGGTCACGGGAGGACATATACTGCTATTGCCCGCTATATGCTGAGAACGCCGCAGCCGGGACGGATCCTGACAATACTGTTGAGATCCACCCAGCTGGCTGATTGACTTCAGAGGCAAAGCCAGCTAGGCCCGCACCCCTCCCCCGTCTGTTCCTCCAGTCAGCGCTGTGGGGAGCAGTGACTGACAGTTAACGCTCCCTGCAGGGAATTGATCGGGAAGTGAGCGGATCAGTGTTATGTTTTTGCTCACTTCCCGATCAATGGAGCTGACGTGTAATTCACCCACCCCATAGTTCTCCTTTAAAGCCCCACTTATGCCATTTTTGTTCCTTTTCTATAAAGAGATAAACCTCTGTTCACAATACAAAGCCTTCTTGTACTGTTGACATGTCATAAAAAGTGTTGTTGGCACAGGAAATAAAGGCAAGTCTCCCCAGTTGGGATATATGCATTAATTCTTCCCTCCCAGCGATTGTATCCCTTCTCCAGTCTACTATAAAAGATTTTCTATTGCAGTTTTTATATCTGTTGTAAAGATTTCCTATCAATACCTGTCCTGGGAACAGAAAGTTGAGGAAATCTCAACAGGGTCACAAAATTAAAAACCTGACAGACATTATAACCCTTTTCCACTCTATCTACAACTTGAAAAAGGTTTAGCAATCTTAGAACATTTTTCCATAGCCAAAGTAAGCTGAGAGATGGCAAAAAGAGTATGAAGCAGGGTTTAGTTCCACTGAACCATATTATTTGTATACCACTCTAAAATGGAAAGATTTGCAGTTTGTATTATGAAAGTAGAATATTTACCATTCCTGTGCACAGTCCATTTTTAAAACACATAAAGTTTCTTGCAGAGTGGAGAATATCAACCCAGTTGTGACAGAAGTGAGTAAATTTGATCAAGAACTGTCTCATATCCTGGCTCCTTAGGAGTCCGACTACCTAAAGATCCCTGCAAAATAAAACATGTTGTTAAGTCATGGGCAGTGCCTACTATGGTTTGTTTTGGTGATGTCATACGGTGCCTATAAATGCAATGTAAATCTAGTTAATAATGAATAAACAAATATTTTTACATCCTTGCTTTACCTTACTTTAATTATAACACTGAAAAGAGATTTGCAGATTACCTGCTTAACATTAGAGATATCAGCCACAAAAGGAATACTTTGTTTTTACTTAGCTAGCTGACCCATAGACTTGCATTGTAAGAGGGATCAGTAAAGTGCAACCATTGTGTAGCTTTGCAAAGCATGAAGCATTGTGTAGCTTTGCAAAGCATGAAGCAGAGCCTATGTATGTAATAAGCAAAGATACCTTCTTTCTTGTGAATATATAATTACAAACTATGCATAGAAACAAGGTTTTTAAAAAACGTAAGCAGACATTTATGGGATCAAGCATATATTTTACATGTACTGTACCGTACTTTGCGTTCCATAAGACGCACCAGACCATAGGACGCAGGGAGGTCCGGTGCGCCTTATGGTGCACTGGACAGACCAGAGCTTCTGTCACAGCTTCTGTGACAGAAGCTGCAGTTAGTGACCGCTGAGACAGGTGGTGCTGTGATTACAGCGCCACGGTCTCAGTGATCACATAGAGCAGACGAAGAACGTCCGTTCTTCGTCTGCTCTAGGGGCTCTATGGTGATCTCGATCGCCGTCGCCGCTGCTTGGTTTTAATAAAAGTGATCTGATTAGATCACTTGTATTAAACGAGCAGTGGCTCCTACTGTACATTTAGCTCTGCTTTAGCAGGGCTAAATGTACAAAAAAACGACTCGCCCGGCGCCCGAAACTACATGTCTCGGGCGTCGGGCGATAGGGATTCGCTCCATAAGACGCATATTCCCCCACCTTTTGGGGGCAAAAAAGTGTGTCTTATGGAGCGAAAAATACGGTATATCTTTTTTAAATAAAAACAATTAAATATACATTAGCTGCGGAAACACAATTACAAAAGTTTCTGTGGTAACTAGTTATCATTAAACATGATTAGTGTAGTCTCCCTGTTACCAAAAAAACCCATGGGTTAGTGTAGATAGGTGTATCTATAATCAAAACATTTTTCTCGGGGGCGTGGCTTACCAATGGCGCCGTGAGGACGCGTTTTCCCGGAGCTCTGCTTCTGCCGGCACCAGCCTACTCTTTAACGGACGATATTAGCCTCCTTTTCGGATGTCCCGACCTCAGGGCACTCAGGCAAACCTCCGGAGCTCCCGACAGTCGGACCTGGCGGATTTCTTCGGTCCCGCGGGTCCATCGAGCCGACGGGTCGTCCCGCTCATGGCGACAACACGCTCAGCGGCTGCAGGCCTGACCCCCTCCAGGTACAGTGCCAAACTGGCGGCACCTCCTGCTGATGTGACAGGTCAGTCACGCGATCGGCCCTTGTCTCCGATCCCGTCACCGGTATTCCAGCCAGACGACTCCGGTACCCAGCAGATGACCAAGGTAGGAGAAGGGGGGATTGGAGGGAGATACTTCCACGCCTCACCACCAAGAGTGACCTGGAGGCCATGGCAGCACACATCGTGGCGGCCCTCAGACAGGAGGTACAGGAGATAGGGCAGAGAGTGACGGCCCTGGATGGCAGAGTGACCTCAGTGGAGGAATCCACCGCCTCCTTGTCACAACGGGTGTCAGCCCTGGAGTCGGCCCACACTGAGATGGGCACCCAGATCACCACAGCCTTCCTTAGACTGGATGACGGTGAGAACTGCAACAGGCGTAATAACCTGCGGTTGCGAGGCATCCCTGAAGCCACAGCGGGCCGCGACCTCCGTTCCACAGCCCTGGCGATTCTCAACCACTACATGGATAAACCTCCGGCGACTGAAATGGAATTGGACCGCGTACATCGGGTTCAGGGTGCCCGCGCCACTGCCTTGACCAACGCCCTACCCCGGGATGTGCTGTGTCGGGTGCACTTTTATTCCATCAAGGAGGAGATCCTGTGCCAGGCCTGGCACAAGGGGCCTGTGGACTTCGATGGCGCCCAAATTCAAATCATGCCTGATCTTTCCAGGCACACCCTACGCATGCGACGATCCCTGCGGCCCCTATTGGAGGTCATCCGTGCCGCAGATGCCACATACAGATGGGGCCATCCGTTCCATCTTATTGTGCGGAGGGGCAACTCATGCTTCCACCTGCATCGCCCTTAGCAGCTGCCTGGCGTGTTCCTTTTCCTGGAAGCAGAAGCGGTACCGATCCCGAACTGGTTGGACTTTTCAGATGACCGCCCGCTTGCTGCCCTGCCCGGGCTTGGTGGGTCGCGCCGAGGGAGATCCCGTGCTAGTCGGAGGAATGCCCCTGTCCCTTCTCATGCCAGGAGCGAGGCCTGAAGACCTCTCCGAATGGAAGCCGAGACGCTGCCCCTGAAAAATATGTGGTATTTCATGCATTGATAGCCGCAGGCGTTTTATATGCTTGTTATGTTGTTGCACTATTTAGTTGATGGGGGGGCCCCCTCCGGATGCCCGGTCGGACCGCAGGGATGCCTTTTAAAAAAAAATGTTTTACCTCTCCTGACATGGTCCTGTGGGTCAATGGAGGGGGACCTTTCACATGCCGCGGCTTTACTGGAAGGGGGGACCCACTACCGCATTTTATGCTACGATATTACATTTTTCTTGTGTGATTCTCCGGGAGCGAGGTGGCGCACCGCCTGCGGGATGGGAGGGGGCTGCCATGGGAGGGCCTGCATAAGGCGTTCCCTGTGGTGGCGCCCTCTTCCCCCGTAGCCACGCGGGCTATCTCTTTTGGGGACTAGTGCCTCTTCTTGTATTTATGTGTAATATGTTAGGTTGTGTTGCCGAGGAGAAGCATCTCCTACCTTGCTGTTGTTTTGTAACCACTGTATTGTGAAAACTTCACCCCCATAGGTCCCACGCTCATGCCCTACCCGTACAGGGGTGTGGCTGACCCGTAGTCGGTGTCAGCGTGTTTCTCTTTTGCTCTGATTTCCTCTTCTACTCCTCTCCCTTCTCTTCTTGATCCCGCTCCATTTCCTAGCTTCCTCTCCCCTGCCCTCCACTCACCTCCCTCTCCTCCCATCCCCACCTGCCCCCCCAGTCCTCCACAGGACATTCAGGAAGTATGGCTCCGCTTTCACTTTACTCCCTGAATGCCAGGGGACTGAATATCCCCAAAAAAAGGTCTCAGCTGCTCTCAGACCTGCGGAGAGCTGGAGCCCAGGTAGCCCTCATATAGGAGACCCACTTCAACAAAGAAGCGGTTCCCAAACTGATCAATCGGGACTTCCCCGTGGTGTATCATGCTGCGTCCCCGCTCTCCAAGTCCAAGGGTGTGAGCATCCTAATCTCCAAATCAGTGGCTTGGACTTGGGTTGACCAAATGGTGGACAAGATGGGTCGGTTTCTGGTAGTGAAGGGACGCGTTGGGGAGAATGTGGTGACGTTGGCCAATATGTACTTGCCCAACTCGGACCAGCTGCAGTTTCTGCAATCCTTTCTTGCCCGCCTAGCGGATTTTCAGGAAGGAACCCTGATTCTGGGGGGCGATTTCAATGTGGCGCTGGATCCTACTATTGATACCTCCAGGGGTGCTTCCCACCTCTCATTTTCCCGCCTTCGAAAACTCAAGTTGGCGCTCCAGCAGCTCCATCTCATGGATGTGTGGCGTACCCTTTTCCCCCGAGGGACGGGACTTCACGTACTACTCGACCGTTCACCAATCCTACTCGAGGATAGACTACTTCTTCACCTGACATGGGGACTTGCCTAAGGTACTGTCGGCCTCGATTGGTTCCCCTATCCTCTCGGACCATGCTCCAATTCAGCTCAGTGTTGACCTCCTGGCTCCCACCGCTCTGTGTTCCTCCTGGAGACTCAATGAGTCCCTCCTGCAGGAACCGGTTACCAGTGCGGACATGGCGACTTCCCTGTCGGACTATTTTCGCACGAATGTCAACGGTCTGGTCAGCCCCTCTCTGTGTGTGAGGCGCATAAGTGTGTCTTGCGGGGCGTGCTTATTAAGCATGGCGCGCGACTGAAACGAGAACGTAACACTCAAATTGAGGCGCTGTTGCGCCTCCTGTGCAGACTGGAGGCGACACACAAGCAATCACTGGCGGTGGCGACCTACAGGGAACTCGTCCAGGTTTGTGAGGCGCTTTATGCCCTTCTGTTTCTGCGGGTGAAGAGGCGGGCGATGTGGGGCAGGAGGACACTATATGAACAAACCTGGTAAATACTTGGCTGGGGCCCTGCGCTGACCGAGAGGTAGAACCTTTATATCCCACTTGACCTCCAGACAGGGCTCTCGCCTAACTCTCTCAAAAGACATGGCGGAGGAATTTTGCGATTTTTATCAGAGATTGTATAACCTGCAACCGGATCCCACGATAAGTGAGGCGCCAGCCAGAGCGGCTGAGATAGATCGGTACCTCCAGGGCTCCGGCCTCACTTCACTCTTGGTGGAAGAGAGGGAGAGGTTGGAGATCCCCATCTCCCCGGAGGAGCTGGCCAGCGCTTTGCGGCACACTAAGCCGGGCAAAGCCCCAGGCCCAGACGGCTTCACCATCACATACTACAGAAAGTTCCTGGACCAGCTGTCCCCCCATTTCTTGTCAGCATTCAACTCCATCCTCCGCCACTGTCCTTTGCCGATGGATTCCTTGAGGGCACATGTTGCAGTGATCCCTAAAGAGGGGAAGGACCCGGCACAGTGTGGGAGCTACCGTCCCATAGCATTATTAAACGCGGACTTAAAGCTGTTTGCGAAAATACTAGCGACTAGACTTTCGCCGTCTATCCAGTGTTTGGTAAGGGATGACCAAGTGCGTTTTGACCAGGGAGGCCAGGGACAGTACCACTAGGGTCCTCAATATCATTCATGAGGCCCACTCCACTTCTTCCCCTCTGATGGTTCTCTCAACGGACGCCGAGAAGGCCTTTGACAGGGTGGATTGGCTGTTTCTGAAGTC